TAGACTCTCACATGTTGCTCCTTTAGGCCTATTGCATCACAGCTCCTTTAGTGTACAGAGACAAAAAAACAAAAAAAAAATTCAAGCACCATTTGGTCATAAATAGCTTCACAGCGTACTTCAACAAACGCTGTTCTCTTTGCTGTCGTCTGTTTCCATGACAATACTTCAGGAAGGGCCTGTAAAAGGCCATGAAAGCCTCATCATCACTAATATTAGCTGTAATAATGATGATAATAGCACCCTTGAACTGCCTTGCCTGTGATAATGATGGCAAAAGCAATGATGGTCATTATTTCTGCTTCTAACCACCATGCGGTCCAATGGAAAAATTTTAAAGCAGTAATGGTGTGTAACATGCTCATCTGTGCAAAATGTCCCAGACATTATAATATAGTCTTATATCCATTTTTTACTGTCCTGATTTCCAATTGTACTGTTTGATAAACCTGGTTTTAAAAACACGTCAGTCACATGTCTGACATCATAAATTCCTCCCATTAGGCAGAAACAAAAATGCTAATTGTTTTTTTGAATAAGTGCTAAAAGATGGAAGTCTTTTTCTGTTTATAACCTATAAACCTTATAATTATGAACATCTCTCCTTCTGTAAGTAAGTCTTGGAGGGGGTTGAGAATATCTCTGTAAAACTCCCTCTGCAGTCATGCTGAGAAGGATTTTTCTGGAAAACAAAAATCATACTCCAATTGCGATTGAACTTTGGCTTCATAGGAAGGTATGAGCTGGGTTTTGGTTGTAAAGTTGTGGTTCAGATCTCATACATCCCCAAATGCTTAGGAAATTGTGAAAGTTTTGGTCTTGGTCTACATGATTTGTTGAGTTTTTTTTAGAAAGAGGAAAACTGTGTTCTATTAAGTGTACTGTGAGGGCAGAAATACGGGCTACCTGGTTGACTTTTATAATAATAATAATTGTTTAACTTTATTGATTTCACATGGGAGAAATTTACCTCTTTATTTAACCCATCCCCTTGGGGAGCAGTGGGCTGCCATTGTGTGGCGCCCGGGAAGCAGTGTGGGGTTGCGGGTCTTGCACAGAGAACGAGAGTGGCAGTCTGTGGGAGTGGGGCTCGAACTCAGAACCCCTAACCACTAGGCCGCCACTCCCCCAATCTGATCCAAGGATTCCTACACAAGAACTGGGAACAAGCCTAGCTCAATTATGTAACCTATGGACGAAACATGTACTTATTAAGAGCATTGTTGTCTGGTTTGTGACCCTTAGGTTTCCATATTTGTTTTTTGTTTTTTTGCTTTTGTTTTCAGATGATATGATTGTTGTCATCCTTACAAGAAGACTCTCAGCATAGAGAGTTCAAAACTGAATGTGAATTAGAGTCACCTCTTGTTAGTCTAACTCCAATGGTTCTAATCTGGAAAAGAGCAACTACCTCCTCTTTAGATGGGGTACAAATATCTAAAAGGTGATGAAGAGGTCTGGTAAATGGTTCTGACCCTTATCTACCGCAAAGGTATGGCTCACCTTCAAGAAAGTGGGATCCAGGAGAAAAGGGGATGAAATTAGCTTCACTGAAAGTTTTTTAGATAGTTTGGAGTTCTGTCATCTAAGAGGAGCTCAGAGACTAGCTGCTGCTCCGCCACATCAAAAAAGAGCGGCAATGGTTTAAGTGTCTGATCAGGATGCCTACAGGCTTAGGTGTTATCTTTTAGAGGTTGTCTGGGTTTGTCCCACTTGGAAGAAACCCAAGAGCAGACGTTTGCTGGAGGCACTTTGTCTACTGTTTGATTAAAAACATCATAAGACTCCCAAGGGTGGATTTACCTTATAGTCAAAGTAAAAACCAGGCCTCCTATCATCAAGGGGCCCCACCAATGAGGGGCCCTGATGGTTGCCTACGCACGTAACAGTGCAGCTAGGAGTCATTTTAGAAACAGAAATACTTTGGTTTGCAATTAAAGTAATGACAAAAAAACATGACACAATATAGCATCACCTGCTAAAGTATGGACTGAGTGTTCTCATCTCAAAAATCACCCAGTTGATGCAATGTGCCACTTAGAGAGCAGAAAGAGAGATAGAACAGAGCTGTGAAAGCTCTGCGGGAAAGTGAAAAAAGTGAGGGGGAAAAAAAGTGTATTATGTTACCATAATTGGATGAAATGTTTTATGAATTACCCAGATCTCAAGAACGAGAACTTTTCACTTAAAAGGATGGTTTAATGATTATTTTCCATATAATTCCATATAATCACTGAACATTTAATAACCTGAAAATAAGAGATGAAATAGAAGACAGAAAAAAAGGATATTGGCAGAGACATGGGGACAGAATGGACAGTTTTTTTGTCCTTTAATTACCAAGGCAGCTGTTTTGTCAAGGACTTTTTCAATACATAAAAAAATTACAACAAGGGCTCCAACAGAGGGACACGGTTCACTTTAGTCCTGCTACAGTGCCAACTGAGCCCTGGTGCATATTTGCACACAAGAACACGTAAAAGTGGTTTGACCAATGCTAAAGTTAGCAATCAAACCTGAATACTATCTCAAAACGGTGATAATTGCAAGTTACAAGAACTTATCTATTAATCCTGAATGACGTGAAGTGGAGGTTTATTCAATTAAGCATCACTGTGGTCATCATGAAGAACGAAAGAGGATGACCCTCATGAGCTAGAGTTTTACCTAATAGCTCTACTGTGATAGAAAACAGAAGGAACCTTCCCTGGAAGCTTTTAGCTCTACCTCAAGATACTAAAAATAAATAATCTGACCCATAGTTCAGTGAAAATCAAAGCATTTATTCCTAAAGATTACAATCTTGTTCAGATCATCACTTTACTCTAGAATAAACGTGTTGCAGAGTAAATTAGGAAAATACAAGGTTTTAAGTTTGCAAGTATTAGGGTAGCCTTAATTTTTCTTTACATATTCAGTTCAAGCTTGTTAAAAGTGCAAAATTTTCAAGATTTCAAACCCCACAGGTTAACAGATTTTTCTATACAGAATGTATTTTACAGTAAACACTTCAATAATTGTCCAAAGCAACAGTGTTCTCTGAAATAATTCATACAATATCGGGACAGGATGAATGAAAATAGTTTATTCATAAGTTAAATTTAGAGCTGGAAAGATGACAAGAAATCAGAAGAAGTTTATGAAAAAGGGTACATATTCATAAAATCAATGCTAATCACATGCTTGAAAAGCACTCATCAAAGATAAAATACATCAATCGTATGTTTTTAAGGTATTTCCATGGGACTAGGATTAAAAAAATAAACATTACATCAGTTTTTGCGATTCTGTAACTAAAACATTTTTTTTTCAATAGAATGAGAAAAATTCAGATTAAGAAAAAACTCTTAATAGCTTCATGCTCTCCTTCGGTGAAATCTTTTTTCTCCCCATCAATCCTAATCTCTGTATGTCTTCATCTTCAGCCACTTAAAACAAAAAAATAAAACAAGAACAGTTGTTTTAAACCTATTTGATTCAGAATAATTTGCAGCAAAGTATTTATTTTGCTGGAATGAAATGTAGTACAATATTGGTTCCCTATCAAAATAGTACAGTTTTTTTTTTTTTTTTCTTTAAAGATTAACTTCTTCATCACCCCATTGCGGGAGCTTAAAGCCATGCCTCCTATACAGTGCAGGAGCACATATGCTGTTTCAGGCATATCACCCATTTAGTATAGAATAAAAGCTCCCTCCAGAATAATATCCATATTCATTGCTGATCACTGCAGGATCAGCCTCTAATTGTTTTGCTGTGAAGGCCAGGAGAGGGACTAAAGCAAAAGCTACAGTTATGCAATTGTATGTTGACAATATGGCTGTATGAAGTAGAGGTCAACCAAAACAGGTTCTTTAAGGCTATTGCTGATTATTTTTACATCAGCCTAATGGATCCCTGATATACGATGTTGATATTTTTTGAGCTGATTGTTGGAGCCAATACTACTTCTTCTTTATCCATTTCATGATAAAAATGACTTCAGATTATTTAAACAAAAAAGCAATATTTGTTAAATCAAACAAAACCTTATAAGAGACGAAGGAAGCTGCAAATGCACTTAGGAATCAGTAAATGCATGCACTATGTTAAACGGAGTTTTCTTTTTGGTACACATGCTTACTATGAGCTTTGGAGGTCATGGTAATATAGAGGAAGGAGTAAATACTGTTACTGAATTTACTGGTTTTAAAGGTTTTATGTTAAAAAGAAAAGTAGTTTGGAAAAGTTTTTCTTCTGCCTGGAATTGTTATGTTTTTGATGAAATTTTTTTGCTTATTTTAATTATTTTATTACAGTCTAAAATATCCAAATTTGCACATAACTTTACATGTTGATCTGTCCTTATTAAATTACTTTTAACATTAGATGCTATTATTAGTTACTCAGTAATTGAGTACTACTTGTGTAACTACTTGGATGGCTTCTTTTTATGCTTACTAGAGTAGAAATATGACCAAGTAGTATTACTCCTAATTGAGTAAGATTTTTGAGTGCTCTGCAAAACAGTAACCAACAGCAATATATCAGGAGAATAATTTTGCACTAGAACTTTCAAGCTGCAGAAAAAGAAATCTATTACACATAAACTGTAATATACAGATCTTTGAGCAAAACAAAAACAGAAAAAAACTACGAAAGATCCTACAAATGTTCTTTTCTTTCCTTTTTTAATTATATTTTAAATCCTCTAATCCTTTAATCATCCTCTAATCAAACTGGGACCTCTGACAGTTTTAACAGGTACATGTTTATCTGCAATGATTTTTCTATTATTTTAATAATTATTTTGCACTTGTTTAAGTTCCTGATCTATTTGTGTTATCAGTTATCTGTTTGTCTCAAAGATATTACAGAATAATTATAACGATGTAATCCTTCATTAAAAAAAAAAAAAACATCCTCTTAGTAAATATGAAACTGAGACTTCCCCTTTTTTGTTTCATAAAACACCACCTTTATTTTTATGAGCTTCTCTCCGTTGGTCACGTGACCAGTCAGCTGACCAGCAGCACTTCCGCCTGACCTGCTAGTGTTTACAAACCAGCAGACAGTCTTTATACAGCATAATGCTGCTCCCTGCATGATCCGCACAGGTATGTGAGCAACATTTAAACCTCTGCACGTACTTCTATTCACCTTTCTGCAGATGCCAATGCTCCTGTTAACCCTGACCCGCGGTGGGGAGGAAACGCGCGTGTTTCGGAAGTAACTGACAGGGCCCGTGGCTCGTTTACATGCTAATAGCCTAGCTTGCGCCATTAGCTGTCCTGTCAGCTCTGTTACATTTTAGCCCTGAACTTGGAGATGTTAAAGCTGTTTGGATAATTTATCTCTCGCTTTACATCGTAGCACAGAGAGATGTTAGCGACACACGTTCTGGTTTAATGTCCGAATCAATGGCGTAACTATCGGTAAGCAGAGACTGCAGTTGCTTAGGAGACCCCGACCTCTTAGGGGCTCCTACGCAATTTTGGACTAGGACGTCTCTTTGCGGATGTAATGGTGCGAAAATTTCCTATTAAACCCACCTGATACTAAGCTGACTGACCGGACCTTATTTATACCCCAACACAGCAGATTTCAGCATCATGGTGAGCCGTTTAAACACGACACCAATAGAAAAGCAGACAGTGGTACTTTTAATTACTATGTTAATAACTGTGTATAGTTCATTAGACTGTTAGTCAAAAATACACTCCTAAAATATGCTTCAAACCGCAATAAAAAGCTTAAAAGAACGATGTATTTGAGTATTTTATTACACTAAGTCTTGGAATTATGGGTAATCCAGAGCGTAGATTAAAACCATAACAGGGGGATGGGGTGTTGTACTTCATATGGGGGCCACCCAGATAATGTTGCTTACAGGCCTATTGTTGTGTCCTTATGCCATTGGTCCGAATGATGGCATCGACTTTGCCACAGCGCAAAATGCAAGCCCTACGAGTACCTCACATTTAATTTAGATTTTTAACTCTAAATATGACCAGTTTAGAGATAATGTAATTTTCTTGAGAAGATGTTCAAACTAATTGTCTGAATAGTTCATAGTCCTTTAGGCTCTGCTACAGGATAACTTGGACTGTCTCTGGGTTCTGATAAAGAGACTACATACTAAGAATTCAGTTGTGTAATGTGCTGGATTGGATCACAGTCTTATAGTTGGGTTTAAGTGGACTTTATGGCTTCTAGCTTGCAGCCCGGCACTAGTCTGTAATTGGTCTGACTCTGGTTGCAGTTGGATTCTCTTTAGATTAGAGAGATGAGCCAATCATGAAAATCAGAATCTGCTGATCCTGATATTGCCAATCATGGATCTCAGCATCTAATTTGTAAATTCTTACATTTTTCTCTCATGTGCATTGACATTGTATTATTAGGTATAAAATTTAGGAGAAGAGAAAGTGTCATGAACTCACCAATTTTAGTTAAGGAGGCAACCAAGCAAATCTTTTTAAAATCCCATATAAGATAGAGAAGCCGTGCAATGGACTGGCGACCTGTCCAGGGTGTGCCCCGCCTATCTCCCATTGACAGCTGGAGATGGGCACCAGCACGCATTGCGACCCCAGCTGGGATAAATAAGCCTGTCAGAAAATGGATGGATGGATAAGACAGAGAAAATAACAAATGCTCCCTAGAGGTTTGTAGGTGGCTTTTATAAAAGCTGTTTTAATTTAGCTGTAGAAGGACTGTTTCTTCATCCTACCTCAAGTGCAGATACCAGCCAGCTGCTGGCTTCGCTCCATTGCCTTTTCTGCCTGGCAGACTTCTCTGATCTACTGCTGGCCTTCTTCCACCTCCACTGGAAAGCCGTTGCCTCCCCTTGTTGTGTCTGCTCAGCAGGCTTCATCCTACATCGCTGTGCTCAGCTCCAGAGGAGGGCAGGTCTGGCTGCCTCATCTGGGTTCTGGTTTTCTCTCTGCTGCTGTTTTCTCACTGATTTCCCGCTGCTCCTGTCTGAGCTCCAGAACATTGCTCTCCTTACTTTTGTTTTCTGGGTCCCCCCTGTTTTGGACACTGTGAGCAAAACAAACATGGATCAAGCGCAGGATAAGGCGCAACAGCCAGCGCTTGAAGTCAGTTGTCTTCACAATGACCGGCCGGTGGCTGGTCATGGCTGATCACGTGAAAACTGTCAAATTTCCAAAGCATTGCCGATTGACCGGTGCACATTTACATTGGATCTTTCTGTAAACTGTCACTTTTAGGGCTTTCCTGATTGATAATGATTTCAATCTTTCTTTGATTTCCCCTTTGTCCATCTAAGGGCACATAAAGGTAAAATCCATTTCAGGCCCTTTAATATAGGAAGTAGTTTGAAATCTAGTCTGAAATCAAAATGTTTGGTTGTCTAAGCACCAAATTAGATAATCATGACCTTAATCCAATTTTTTTATGGAACACAGATCATTTAAATCTAACTAGCCATGTTCTGCTGGATGCGTTCACAGGGATTAAACATTGGATGAATTCTTTAATTTGATAGATCCGTTAAAATATATTTATAAAATACCTTTGTCTTTGTCTGATATACTGATGAAAAGAACATTTTTCAATCTCAATCTATTTGATTGTGCTTGGCAAATCAACTAAACAGATGTTTATATAAATCCGGAAACTGAGGTTTCACTTCTTTACTGCAGAATGGGGATCTGGCTAAAAGGTATTGCGAAGCCTTTGCCAAAAAACAAAAGTAAATATCTTAGCATATCACAGATCATAAATTGCTTCGATGGTTTCTGTATGTAATCTGGCACATTTATTTGATTGTGTTGGGGTTAAAGAAAGCTCAACTTCACGATTCTATTCTTGAAGAGGATAAGACAAAATCTGTCTGTAGAATTAACGGCTGATATGTGGGTGCATCTTTATTTTAGACCTGTGACAGTTTCTCACATTTGGTGTATAATTTCCTGCGACAACTTTCCTAAATGGCTTTGCATGGTCTCTACTAACCCTAACTAACCTCATTCTCATGGATGTGATTATGGTAACAAGAACAGATTAGGGCGGACAGATGATAGCAGCGGGTTTAAGTCAGTTTGGATTTTTCCACTTTATTTCAGTCTTTTTTCAGCTATAGCTAGCTGGCATTGCATTTTTAATGGTTCAGCAAAAGAATAATTTCATTGTCCCATTTAAACAGAAAAAGCAGGATTGATGAGCTAAAATTATCGACAAAGTTCTAATAAAGTAGTTAAGATAAGAAAGAAAAATATATCTCTGTCTGCATTTGTCTCATGACCTGTTACGAGTGCACAGACACCCACCATGGCTGCCAGTCTTGAAGTTCATCTTTGCAGATAGATGTCTGCTAACTGAATCAGTCAATACTTGGAAAGTTCACGGTGTTTTGTAAAGGCTTTGATTCTGAGTAGCTTTTTCAGAGCATGTGACTGTAAAGGCTGCTGAGCTCTCGCTGTGTGCTGAACTGGAGGCATGTGAGTTTGTTAAGCTGGGATCTTTCCCTCTGACTAAACTATAAGCTGCCTTTTTAGATTAAACAGCTCCTCTCATCTTGACAGCCTCCCTACCCTTTTTAATTCTACTGTAAGTACTCTGACAAACGGGGATCTCATATTAGCTGATGGACTTTCTTTTGATTTATTTGAGTTTAAGTTGGAGATTAAAGGGATGTTGAAACCTTTTTGTTATCCAAACCAGATTTGACTCTGTGGTTCAGTCTTGGATTTCCAAATTTCAAAAAATTTCATACAAGGAGTTCATCTGGGTGTAGTTTCTAAACAGATTTTGCATTCACCCTATGGTCATTGTTAGGGCAAGTTGATATAGACTGAAAATAATATCTTAATATATATAAGATGAATTGTGATGCTCTTTAGTTATCTGAGTATGTTTTTTCCTTTCATAACCATAAAAAGGTAACTCAGATGACTTTTTCTAAAATGTCACACAGGCAGATTTACATTGACAGAACCTCCTATGGAGCTAGTTGACTGCTACCTTTTCCATCAGAAAGTATTTATAGATCAGTCTTTGTGTCCCTTTTGTTTATCTGCTTCTCTCTCTTTGAACTCCCAATTAGTTGTGCTGGAGTTTTGTTCTTGGTAAAGGGGAGTTTTTCCTCCTCACTGTCACTGCATGCATGCTGCCTGTGAGGGATTGCTACAGAGTCCCTCACCACTAACCCTTCACTATCAAGTGGCACTTTCCCGGTGAAGTCACACACACAGCTGTGGAAGGTGCCTTTACTGAAGGTGGTGGGGTATAAACAAGAATGGGACGTCTTCTTCCGTGCAACGGAAAAGGAAAGCAGTCGTTGCTATGGCAACACATTGACACCCCAATGTGTGTGGCAGTAGCTCTGCGGCGCAGGTTAACAGAACATTAAGCATTTCCCCATTTTTTTAAAACAAATGTATGTGGTCAAATAAAAGTATTTCAAAGAGGACCTTCCATTTTGGAATTAATGACGTTTTTTTCATAAACTAACTTGAGATTTTTCATCAGTGTGACGAAAATGCAGCAAACCAGCGGAATTTGCAGTTGCTGCAATGTGTTTCCTGCACTGATGCAGACTCACTATTTAAGGGGTGAATGTTCACTCACCCTACCCACTACGTATTTTGGAATGGCACTTAATGTGGCCTACCCTCCGTAGGAAGAAAGAAGGGGGTAGTGCTCAGGGTTAGCTCTTAGGGGCCGGTTTGGGATTGGACCTATGTAGCACACAATGCAAGGAGTAATAAATCCAACATTTGTCGTCATTCCTTAGATGATCTGATTATGTTGCCAGTGTAAAGTGCCTTGAAAGTTTGGTAATGGATTTGAATACATATAAATGTGTCTGTGTGTGTGTGAATGTATATATATATATATATATATATATATATAT